ACCATCAATAAGGAGAAACAATAAAGGACCTCCATGAAAGAAGTCAGCTTCACATATCCCTCCAAAAAATGGTCTCGGAGAATCTACCCTAAGATAGATTGCGAGAATCAATCATTGTTGGGAAGGTTTCTGATCCTAATGGCCAAGGATGCGAGACGCAGCACGTAAGAAATATATACCAAAAGAAAGTCGGCACAATTAAAAGTCCACCAAATCAACAATATAATGAGTAGAAGTGGAAATATTGAACTCCCATAGACCACTAGCAGGCAGCTGATAATAACTAGCAGTGATAATATAATAATGATAATAATATGCATGATGATGCATCATGCCAAAATAAACAATAACTATTAATCTTAGAAAGTTCCTTATTAAAAAGAATTATATATATATATATATTTATGACTTAAATTTCAAGCTCTTTGATCTAATTTTTCTGTCTTGTCAAACATTAAGATTTTTTTGCTTTGTAAGCCCTTTACAAAAAAATTGCCACCTCTCTCTCTCAAAAAATTATTAGGTCCGGATATCGGATATAAAAATAGGTCCGGATATTTAATTAAAATTTGACATGTGGACTATGCTTTGAATGCATTTTTTTTACTGTGCTTTAACTGTGCTTGACTTAAAATTTTACAAATATGTGTATATTTCACATATCAATATTTTATTGAACTCTGGACGTCTGGTGTCATCCGGACCTAATAATTTTCCCTCTCTCTAAGGTGAGTACGCACTACGCGCTCAGCTTAACTCTTCTATAAATAAGAGCGCCCGATTAAGAAGAGTTTACACAGCCCACCACGAAAGATATCTTAATTTCCAAAAGAAACCACTAAGCTCAAGCCATGGAAGCCGAGCTCTCAATAGATTGGAAAGGCCGCCCCTGCAAACCAAACAAGCATGGAGGCATGCGTGCTGCTGTCTTTGTTCTAGGTTCCTCTTCTCTCTCTCTCTCTCTCTCTCTCTCTCTCTCTTTCTCTTTCTATATTTTCCTTTAAAGGAGATTTTAATGAAACTTTAGCTTTGTTATCTTACTGGATTTGGTCTGGATTTTTCTATAACTTTTGTTTCTTTGTAGGCATTCAAGCATTTGAAATCATGGCTATAGCTGCTGTGGGAAATAATCTCATAACTTATGTGTTCGACGATATGCACTTCCCACTCTCCAAGGCAGCAAATATTGTCACTAACTTCATCGGCACAGTGTTTATCCTTTCGCTGCTCGGTGGTTTTCTTTCTGATTCTTATTTAGGCAGCTTCTGGACCATGCTCATATTTGGATTTATTGAGCTTTCTGTAAGTTTATTTCATCAAATCTGTTGTTTTTAAAGAAAGCAGATATCTTTCTAGTGCCCATAAATTTAATACATTTTCAAAAAAATAAAATAAAATAAAATAATAATACTGGATTGGGCACCACCTTACCATGTATAATGTTTTTGTAAATTTTAAAATAATTTATTACATAAATTTGAGTGTTGAGAATATTTTAAATATATTTATACGGGAAGCATTGCTTTTTTTAGGGTAATAAAATAATATTGTTTTTAATATAAGATACTTGTTTTAATGATAAATTAATATAATATAATATTATATATATATATGATATAATTGAGGAAGGAAATAGTTTCTATCATAATCAATATTTTTGCCTTGACAAATATACCTTACGTAATAAAGAGGTTTTCTTGTAATTTCAAAATTACAAAAATGTAAACAGGAGAGCTACTTTCCTTTTCACTTCTCTCTGAGCTTTGTAAAAAATGAAGGGAAGTACTCATACTATCTCACTCCGCAAGTATATTTTCATTCAGATTTAATTTATTGATGAATTTAATTAGCTTAGTTTCTATTAGCTCCTCTCCCAAATTTTAATAAAGTTTAACTTTATTAAAAGTGCTTATCTCACTGAAGAATAAACTTTTTTTTTTCGCTAACATGTTTTGGCATGTCTGTCAGGGCTTTATTCTACTCTCTGTGCAAGCACATCTTCCTCAATTGAGGCCACCCAAATGCAAAATGATGTTAAAAGAGGATCAGTGTATTGAGGCAAAAGGCTTCAAGGCTACAATCTTCTTTGTGGCTCTTTACCTTGTGGCTCTAGGGAGTGGCTGCTTAAAACCCAACATGATTTCTCATGGAGCTGATCAATTCATGAAGGAAGATCCCAAACAATCCAAAAAGCTTTCAACTTACTTCAACTCTGCCTATTTCAGCTTCTGCGTTGGCGAGCTCTTCGCGCTTACCGTTCTAGTTTGGGTTCAAACAAGATCAGGGATGGATATCGGCTTCCTCATCTCCTCGGTGGCCATGGCAATGGGACTCTTAAGCTTGATCTTTGGAATGGTCTTTTATAGGAACAAGCCTCCTCAAGGAAGCATCTTTACTCCAATAGCAAGGGTACCATACTTAACTTAGTTTTATACTTAATTATCATATGTTTTTTTATATGATTTTTGTATAAACCATAACTGTGATATGTCAATTTTATGAAAGTTAAAGCAGCTAAAAAAGCAGAATAAATATCCAACCAAACTAATTTCTTTTTTGTTAGTGGAACTTGTTATCATTTCTCTTGTCAAGGGTGTTATTATGGTTGTAATTATTAGAATTCTCTTTTAGCTTGTGGGATATCAGCTCTTTTTCATTTTGATTAAGCTTAAATTCTTATTAGTCAACATGGCCTTATTGATTATTCCTGCTACTACTATTTTAAGCCTAATCCACTTTCCATTTATATTAAAGTAAGACTTTGTGCAGGTTACAAATGATCGACAGAGCTAAATTTGGTCTGTTGTCTACTTGTAGTTTGTTTAAGGTTGTTTCTGTCAATTAGCCTATAATAATAGAAAGCCTATCGTTTGTTTGTCCTTAAACAAGATATATCCGTATGATGACAGTACATTGTTTGATCATTAATAAAGAAGGATTAGGCTAATTGCTTTTATGTAATTTCTTTAATGAATCCTTTTTGTTATGGGTGATTAATCTATTGCTGATGATAGTTTCTTTCTTTTACATCGTGCCTTGTGCTAATGCTGATGATGGTGCTCTGATTAGCATATTAAATTAAATAATTATCCTTATAGTTAAACATCATTAATTAGATAATAATATCTTATTATGATGGTTTTAATCATTGATTAAATACAAACCAAGTTTATTCTTCTTAGTTTAACAAATATGTTTTGCAAAATCTTTGGATCTGTACTTATGATATTGGCCTCTAACTCTTCATATATTATACATAAAGATACCTTATAAACATATTAATTTGTTAATTAGTGTAGGAAACATAGTTCTTCTAGTGTCTTCTTCTTTTAATCGCTACTGGCAATTTTTACTCAAAATCTTCATTATTTTATAGGTATTCGTGGCTGCCATCTCTAAGCGAAAACAAGTTTGCCCTTCCAATAGCACCAACCATTTAGCCGTTGCCGATCCTTCTTCAAATCCTGGAAACCTATTGCATACTGAAAGATTCAGGTTAACGGCTCATTTGATTGCTTCTTCAAGTTAGATTAAAAAACATATTTATTTATAATTCAGTCTATTGATTTCAAAGTCTACATACAAACTTGAAAGTTGAAGCTTTTGAATTGAATGATTATTGCTCCAGATTCCTCGACAAAGCCTGCATTCGAGTTCAGGAAGGCGCCAAAGAAAGCTCATGGCGACTCTGCACAACATCAGAAGTAGAACAAGTGAAGATAATACTCTCTGTAATCCCAATATTCGCTTGCACCATAGTCTTCAACACCATCTTAGCTCAACTCCAAACCTTCTCAGTTCAACAAGGCAGAGCGATGAACACTCGCTTGACAAATTCCTTCAACATCCCACCAGCTTCTCTCCAAGCCATCCCCTACTTTATCCTCATAATCCTCGTCCCTGTCTATGAAATAGCCTTTGTCCCCTTCGCTCGCAGACTAACAGGCCATGACTCAGGCATCACTCCTCTCCAACGCATCGGCGTCGGCCTCTTCTCTGTCACATTCTCAATGGTTGCTGCAGCTCTTGTAGAGAAGAAGAGAAGAGAAGAAGCTTCGTTGGAACAAAGCAATCTCCTTTCCATCTTCTGGATTACACCTCAGTTCCTAATCTTCGGGATTTCTGAAATGTTCACTGCAGTGGGACTCATTGAGTTCTTTTACAAGCAGTCATTAGCAGGAATGCAGTCTTTTCTCACTGCAATAACTTACTGCTCTTACTCATTTGGGTTCTATTTAAGCTCTCTGTTGGTTTCTTTGGTCAATAAGATCACCAGGTCAGAATCTTATGGTGGATGGCTTGGTGATAATGATCTCAATAAGGATAGACTGGATTTGTTCTATTGGCTTCTGGCATCTCTCAGCTTTCTCAACTTCTTCAACTACCTGTTTTGGTCAAGATGGTATGGTAACAATAATCCATCTCGAGCTTATAATCTTGCATCAAAGCAGGTGGGCGCAGACAACATATAGCTAGCAACAATAAGGAAAGGTTGTGAAGTTATTTTTACTTTATTTTGGATTAAAGCTGTAATTAAGGGAAACAAAAAAAAAGTTTAGTTAATTATAAGGAAAAATAGCCTGTAGTGATGTAAACTCTAAGCACAAATCTTGGAAGAGTAAAGTGGAGTGGATTTCCTTCCTAGTTTTAAGATAATGGTGGGTGTCTATTGGTCCTTGGTTGGATTCAGAGACTGTTTGGTGTAATGCTTAATTACCATATAGAAATAGTGTTCAAAGGTAAGTTTGGTCAAATAGCATTTTACTAAGATGGAATGTACTTATACTAATGCTTTTTTTTTCTTTTAATGTTGTTTGTGTGAAGAAAGAAAAATGAATGTGATTATGAGTACTCATCTTGATAAATGTTTGTGGACAGTTGGTGTTCTACTCATTAAATAATTCATATTTGATTCTTTTTTTAATTAATTAGTTGAACAGAAATTAACACAGTGGATGTTTGATTTCTCTCTTAATAAACTGAATTAAACTATATTAAATATATTTTTTATGGTTTATATCATGAGAAAAACAAGATGTTTGTCTATCATTATTATATACTATGGATCTTTTAACTTGTTTGGAATAGGAAGTATAGTTTTGTTATGTATAAGGGTGAAATGTCTTGTGAGTTTATAGGTAATTTTTTTTAATGAATATATTATAAATATTTTGATTATGATAGGTTTATAAAAAAAATTGTTGTTAAATTTAAGAGAAGCATAATGCATTTTATGATATACTATATTCAATTAATGTTTAAAATAAAATGATTATTTATAGAATATATAGGATCCATTTTGGAACCTTATATATATATTTATATATAAAAGAATGGTAAGTATAAAATAATAGAAGAGATTTAAATTCAAGATTTTGATAATAATTTTTAATATTCATATAAATTAAACTAGATGAGACCAACATGTACTTTATGCTAGACTTGGGATATAACATCTCAAACTCTTAATTATCAAAATATTGTCCACTTTGTTTTAATTGTCTCACAATTTTTTCTTATTGGTATTTTAATCAATAAATTATTATTTTATGTTGGAACATTAGCAGTCATACATATAATTTAAAATCTTTAAATTTTATGAAGATGCCCAAAGAAATAATTGAAAGCAACATGTAAGAGGCAAAAATTTTCTTAGGCGAGGAAACTCAAGAAGGGGAAATTTGTGTGGCATGACTTAATTAGAGTAGTTTTACTAGTATGAATAAATATAGGAAAATAAGTTCATTGAAGGTAAAGTGGTGAGAGATGTGTCTTGCTTGAGAGGGGTTCAAAGTAGAAGTAACCTTTTGAGATGCATATGAAAAAGCATGGGGCGGATCTTCATATATTTTTTTTGTTGAGTAGGGTCAAAAAAAAGGGGAAGCACTAACACCTAAATATTTTGAGATGCAAGTAGTTCGGGCATGCTTTGTGAAAATGTTCATACGGAGACAATAAGTTGGCGATGAGGGATGGTGAACAGTTAATGAGATAAATCGTTGCGGGACGAGCATATACCTAGAATAAGTGAGGCAGATGGGCATACAATGGAGAGCTTGTACGATGTCGATAATGTGCTAGTGTTTGAGCTTGATAATGTTGTTTTACTCAGAAGTGTACTGCCAAGCATATTGATGATGAATGCCTTACATGGAGAGAATTGATATGTTTAAAATTATTGGTCAAGAATTCAACACCAACATTGGTGTAGAGGGGATTTTAGAGGGCATTAATATTATTTTTTAACAAGATATTTGAAGTGAATGAATGTATTGATGGTGTCAATTTTCTAAGCATGGGGTTAGACCCAACAATAGCGAGAGTAATCATCGATGAACACAATATTCTATCTATAACAATATATACATAGATACCATCGCGAAGGGTCTTTAAACATCTGAATGAATTACCTAAAGAGGATGCACGTTAAGAGAGATGCAAAGAAAGACATTTTATTCGACTTTGATACATGACAAGTACAAGAGGGCTTTATAAAGTGAATACTGATTTTAGAGTCTTGTTTAATTGGCATAGAGATGATAGCTGATGCTAGTTGGCTGAGATCATCTTTGATGGAGTTAATGGAGAGTAAGAAGAGGTTGCAGGTTGCTTGTGGATAGTTTGCTACGGTGAAAGGGAATGACGATATTGAGACCTTTATGACATGGGCCCTTAAGAATGATATGAATGATCATCATGTTAATGATGGTGTAGATGGCGACATTGGACGAGATAGCATGAGCTATCATTAGTGAGTTGATGAATATAAATTTGATTACTTTAGGAACTTGAAGGAGATGGGAAGGGTTTGGCCATTCCCAAGTATGGCCTATTGTGAGCCTTGAAAAGGCTGTGGATTGAGAAGGTTGGGACCTGAAGTCAAGTGAGATGTAGCCTCTATGTCCATATACCATTCATCTCCTTATAGAGGGATAAGCACTAGAGAGAAATTGGACTTTTCATGTATGCTTACCATGATGTTTCTTGGCTAAGGTTGAGATATGATGGATAATTAGGCATGGTTAAGTATTTCAAGAGAGAATACGAGAGAAATTATTCCAAGGCTTCAAAGTTTTAATATTTTTAGCATAATAATTATAGTACATGTTATGAAAAACATGTGATGATGATTCATCACAGCATTGCATATTGATCTCCATTTATAAATATTTTAACTTATTTAGAGTAGGAAGTATTGCTTAGTAATGTCTAAGGGTATAATGAATTGTGAGTTAATTAATGGTAAACATAATTTTTTTATGTTATATATTATAAATATATTCATCATGAAAAAATTAGGAAATAATTTCTCCTTTAATATAAATATGCATACCATATTTTACGTTCTATGATATAAAATTAATATTAAAAATATTAATTTATAGGATATGATCATAAGTTAATTGACCCTTTCTCTTTTTACATGCATTCATATGCTCCAATGTTTGTGTTTGTGTGTGTGTGTGTGAGAGAGAGAGAGAGTTATGCATTAGAAACCCATTCCATAAATATATCTTAAATGTGAAAAAATGAAAGAATTTAATGGTTCTTTATATAATTAATTTTTTGAGCAAAAAAATGGTTTCGCTTGGGATGATTTTTTTGTTGCTTCTTAAAGCAACATTCTAAAAATTTTATTTTCGTACTAAAGAACTACTTTAAGAAGCAACAAAAAAGCCGTCCCAAACGAAGCTATCTTTTGGGGCGGATTTCTTAATGCTTTCTAATACAAAATTTATACTTTAAGAAATTTTTTTACTAGAAAACTAATTTAAAAAAACAGTAAAAAAGTCGTCCCAAATGAAACATAGATGTGAAACTTCTTCATGTAATTTAATCTCCTTTTTAATTATGTACTGTGTTCAAAACTCTATATTAATTTCGATAATTTGATTTCAAATGATTTGTTCTTCCATGTCATGCAAGTCCTCAAGCTGATTCTCCTTCTCTTCGATCAATATTGGAAAATTAATTATTCCTAGCATTTTTTTTTCTTTCAATATTACTTATTTGAAATGTTGCAGATTTTAGTGCTTTGTGTGGCTATTAACTTTTTAAAGCCTTCTTAAACGTAGAATTATGATATCTTAGAGTAATCATATTTCTTTGTTATTTTAACACAAAAGTTTATTGGCTATTTGCTTTCAAACAATTTTCAATTATATTTTTTTGGTGTTCGATATAAGTTTATTTGGCCTTGTATTAATTTGATTTTGATATTGTAACATATTATCTCAATAAAAAATACGGTAAAAATAGATTTTAGATGATCTTAAAATTAATTCCAAAATTTTTTGCCAAATATTTGTGTTTTTATATATTTAAGAAATATGCTGAACTTTGTGTAAATTCATATCAAATTTATGAAACACACCAATCATGAATATTAGTTGTTTACTGTCTTTGTAGTAATAGTAATGAAAACAAAAGCAACTATAATTGTAAATGGTTTGCACAAGCAAACTACTGATTACGATGGATTTGTTTGGTAAGACTAATGGTTTTTCGGAAAGATGGTTGTAAAATTACTATGCAAAAAGAAATTTTTTGAAAGTTGCTTTAAAAAGTAGCTTTCTAGCACAAGCATTAAATGAAAGCAGTGGTAAAACAAAATTTATTGCAGTTTGAAAAACAAAACAGTTAAAAAACTATCCCAAACGAAATTAAGGCTTCGTTTGGGACACCTTTCTTACTGCTTCATAAAGTAGCTTTCTAAAAAAAATTAAAATTTTTATACTAGAAAGTTGCTTTATGAAGTAGCTGCTTTATGAAGCAGAAAGAAAGTCGTCCCAAACGAAGCCTAAATCTTCATTTTGGGACAACTTTCTAACTATTTTTTAAAGTAGCTTTTTAGTAAAAAAAATATCTTAAAAGCAACAAAAAACAAGTGTTCAAAAGCTATCACAAATAAAGCCTTAAGTCATTGGACGAAATAAAATGAAAAATGCTATGTTCTTCTTCATAGAAAATTAAATAGATATAGTTTCATAACCAAGATATCACATTTCATAAGATAGCACATTTTTGTTGTTCAGCAGCAACACGCCTTCTGAAATCGTCAGATTGCCTCCTAGTCTCATTCAGCTCTGCTTTGAGGTTCTGAATCTGCTTATTTGACTGCCGTGATTTTTCAGCAAGCCTTTCTGCTTCTTTCAGAGTCCCATTTAGCTTTTCTTTTAGCTTCTGAATCTCCTCATTTGATTCCTTCCGGGATTTTCCAGCAAGCCTTTCTGCTTCAAGATGAGCCTCATTTAGCTTCTCTTTGAACTTTCGAATCTCCTCATCCGACTCCTTCCGTGATTCTCTGGCAAGCTTCTCTGCTTCCAGTCGTGTAGCTTGCTCTTCAGCCAGTTGCTTACTGAAGCTTTCTATTGTTAACTTAAGTTTTTCTTCGACCTGTATGTAACCATAAATATGATCATTTTGTTGGGGCATAGATCGAATTGAGAATAACTCAATATGATTGATGAATTATTTAAATGTGTTTATTTAAGTTTCTAATTACATATTTGTTTAATTTAGTCCAATGATCTCTTGAATACGATTTGAAATAGTCTCTTTGTTTGATTATTTTAGATAAGGTATGAGGAGTCAAAAGTCTATTTTAGATAAAATTAGAGTAGTCCAATGACTAAATTAAACTCATCGAATAGTTTGGGACTAGATGCCCCACTCATAAATAATCTAGGGACCATTTTGACTTTTTTCAGAGGCAAAATATATGCAAATATTTAAAAAATAAAAATAAGAAAACGGAAAAATATATATATAAATGCGTAAAAAGTGCACAAGAATTTTATTCTTGCTCAATCAACTGATGACTATTTACTTATTTTGACCTTATGGTTTCTATACCTTTGTTACCACTGGGTGACTCCTAACTGCTAGCCTAAAATAATATTGTTTCCATTGCAGTCAAGATCTGTACATGACAGTCTCCTTCCTCATATATATGGTTAGCCATATAGCTATTATTAATGCATCGAAAAATGAATAAATGGCTTAAAACAATCTTCTTTATCTTTCATGTGCAAGTTTATACTGTTTGTTATCTCTTCATTCATGAATATAAATCCCAAGACACCCCACAAACCAAAACCCTTAGGAACTGTGGTAACCTCTCCCTCTCCACTATTGACACCCTCCCTCACATTTAATGTTCTTAATGTCTAACATTAAGAACATTATTCACCTCCAGCTCACTCCAAATTAAAAACCATTACATAGATATCACAATTCCTCAAAATCTTTCACACTGGTATATTTGAAGGCAATCTCACCAAAACAAATCTCCATCCTCCCTGCCATTAATTCCAAGTAGGCGAATTGCTACTTCCAACCTCGGATAAAAGGAATGACAACATAAATAAATTCATTCATTTCAAAAATCTTAACACCGCATTAAAACCCCTCTACACTTGTGGCAATGTTGAATTCCTAGCCATAATTTCAATCATATCATCCTTACACATTCAATATGGCCGACCCGCTACTCCTAGTCTACAAAAAGCAAGGTTTCATCATATATCTAACTCGCTATGGATGACTTACTAATCACAGGAAAAACGGTTCCACCACCAACTCCACGACCATATATCAACGTCACACTTCCTTCAACATAAAAACTCCTGATAACCATTCCCAATTCTCAAGCCTCAAAGCCAAACCAACATCATATGGCCTCCATTTAAACCAAACTCACCATACTAATAATGTTTGAGTATACTATCTTTCAAACTATGTCTAAACCAACTTCAATCAAAACAACTTCAACTGAGCTTGAAAACAACTGTTTTAGTAATTTCTTAGCTCTCTCGAATATTTAACTATCACTCACCCATACATTCGTTTTAAAATCACCCGCCTCTACAAATACATGCACAAACCTCTTCATCCATGCCAAAAACTCAAAAGACTATTCTGCTACCTAAAAGCCACTCTTCATTATAGCATGTCGATCTGCAAAGTCAACTTCCACCTTACAGCTTATGCTAACTTAGGTTGCGCTAGAGAACCCTAGTGATAGAAAGTCAGCCATCGAATTGTGCCTTCATTGGAAATATACTCATCTCTTAGTGCATTGAAAAAAATAAGCAATATTTGCTTGGTCATACACCAAAGCAAAATACAAAGTTATGACAAAGTTACCAGAAATATCAATTAGCTTCGCAGCCTACATCAAGAGTTCAAGATCCCATTCTATCAATCAAACACACACACACACAAATATATATAACTGCATTTGCCAACAATTTAGCCTTTCGCAAAAAAATAAGACTCAATGAGATCAACTGTCACTTCATTCTCAATTAAATAAAATCGTTGGCTATTATAATTTATCATTTCACTTCACACTATCGAACTTCTGACATCTCCACAAAAGGAGTACCCTATATTCAGTTTTATTATCTACATGATAAGTTCAAGCATCTCAATCTAGATTATCAACTTGAGGGGAGCTAATAATAATAAAAATCAAATTTACCATTTTCACCCTACAATTTGTACTCCGTTGGTGCCTTCTCATCATAAACCATCTATAAAACCTCTTGGAAAATTCAGTCACTAGCTTGAAACAATATTAGAACCATAGTAGCCTACCTCTCTCTCTCTCTCTATATATATATATATATAGAAATAACTTTTAATAATATATTAAAAAATAAATGCATAACTCCATGATACTGTTTATCATTGATGTTTAAGTTTTAATTGTACACCTTTAATCATATTTCAACCCTAATGACTAAGATATAGAACACTGTTCCCCTTCTTTAAAGACAAATATAAGGCATCTCAAATATAATAAAATTTTCAAAACACACTTAATGAAATAAGAACAAATAATAGATAACTTTCACAGGCTCTCTAACCTCCTTCTAACCCCTATAACAACTTCACCACAAAGGTCAGCATTCGACTAAAACTACTTGAGGTGTTTTATTTGTAGGCCAAAAAAATGAGACTCTATAACTTAACTCATAATTTGCATTTAAACTGGTACAACTATGAACTTTGGAAATATAAAAGCAATATAAATTAAGAGCTTAAATGAGCATACCATCTCAGTTACACGCTTCAGTTGATCATTGTATAGTTTACTGTTCTCTTTCATAACATTAGATAACTCATCTTTGGACCAACCTTCTTTAGCTTTAGCCTCTTCATCCTTGTGGTGTCGAAGTAAATATCCTTCCTAATGGAAGTAATAACCAACATGAAGTATCTAACATTTGCATCTACTACAGCTGTCAACTATCAAGTATGAACCAAGAAGACAACATACCTTGAGTTCTACAAACATCTTATTTGAGTATGGTTTTCCACCATTGTCTGAAATAACAGATTCAACAAGAGAAAGCAGCTTATTTACTTGTCCCTCTCTCTTCATCATATCCTTTGTGGTATTATCAAAAATGATTAATCTATTTTTGCACAATTTAATGAGGTTCTGCAAGGAAATTATCGAGGATAGCAAATAATTATATTGATGAAAGAAATTAAAAAGAAGTTTAAAGATTTAAATTGACAAGACAAAAGGTAGCATGGTACATTAATACAAATTTGTAACGGGACTTAATAAGTTTAAATTTACTAGTCTTTAAATCACTCTATACAAATAGGCATATCTAACTGCTAAAAATAAATCCTAACAAATTAAAGATATGTACTCTTAAACTTTAGATGTCACTTAGAACACATTAAACCATCGAGTTGTAACATGAGCAATGAAAATGAAGTGGATCTCCTCTCATTTGAGTCCTTTATAGAATAGAGGTAGAAAATGAAGGGAAAATAAAAGAATAAAAGCTTATACAAATGTTGCATTAAAATAAAATAAATGCATAATGACATTTTTATTACAAAATATAGATTAACACAAAAAATTACCTAGGTAATCACATTGCTCTCATAAAAAAAAGGTTCAACACAACTTTAAATGCCCCTTAAAGTTTTGTTAATACACAATCCTCATTTATCAACAAGTGAACTATTCACCAATATAAAATTATTAAAATATAACTATAATAATAAAAGGGAGCATCATTTATCTTTGGAAAAACTATGTTTAGCTACCTAGCATTGATCATTTTTTTGTTCTTTCGGCTGATCAACAATAATTTTTATGTAAAGAATCTTAACTTCATTTAAAACTTTAAAATTAGATGATTAGCTTCCATAAAAAAAATTACCTTTTTGTGTTATTCTAAATGTATTATTTTATCCAATTCTTTTAATTTTACACAATGCCTCACATTTGAGTCTTTCTATTTCATAGTGACACTTTTCATCTGATTAAAGCTTATCACTCAAATTTGATTAACCCCAATCACTTTCATTTGTGTCACCTTCTTTGCTTGCCTATAACCTCACTTAAGTGTTGCAATAACCTAATTCATTCAACTATTTTTGTTTTTAATTGAAAAGATTCATTGTAAACTATAAAAACATTTATTTCCAATATCAAAATAAAATATGATAATAACCACAAAGGTTGAGTACCAAGACCTTCACAAGATATAACCAACTTTATTGTTGAAATAATTAAATTTACTTCGCTAGCATCCATATTCAACTAAGATAATAACCAAACATTATAACGAATAAATACATTTCTAATACATGGATGAACCATAATAATAACCGCATTAAATTTTTGAATAACCAAATCCTCCTGGGTTATAAACACATAACACTTGCAATAAAAAGATTCACCAAGTATCCAACTACAAGTTCTAAATAACCCGATTCACAGAAACAAACATACAAATTGAGTGAGATATCATCATCCATTATCCATGACTTCCATAATTTAAAGTTTGATGTTTGTAAAAATTGAATAATGCAAAAGAGAAAAAAATATGTATAAGAGAGAAATAATGGGTGGAAGAAATAAAAATATGGCGAATAATAACTAGGAAGTTTGGGAAGCGGTGGGAGAATGATGAGGCAAAGGGAGTCCAAGAGATGAGGATTGCAACCAAGAGGAAGGAGTCAAAGCTAATTCAAGTTTTTTTCCTTTTTCCTAATTTTTGTAGAATGTAAGCCAACCAATGAACAAACTATGTTTCCCTAACATGGCATGGACTAATGAAGAGGTATAACACATTTTTCAAATGTGGGAAGGCACCATCAAATATGATCATTAAATTTGGCTTTAATTGATTTAATTTCTAAAAGTAGTGTGCAAGCTAAATATACTGGAAGATATGCAAGGTTTGTGCGAACAATTAGAAATAAGAGTCATAAATTTGAATAGGTAACAGTTGTTGCATGTGATAGTAAACAAAATACAATTACATAATTAGTTTAAAATAGCAAAAAAAATATCAAATATTTCATAACCATTCATGGGAGCAATTTTAATCCCATACTATCGAATGTTTCTAATTCAATCTCTTCATTACTCCAACCTAATCTAAAATTAACCCTTGATTCCTCAAATATGATGCATAAATAATCCAATGAAGAGACATATTTAAACCATATCAGAGTAATAAGAGGCTAAATTGAACACATTTATAATCTAGGACTAAAATGGCCCCATACAAATAAATCAAGAACTATTTTGACATTTTTTATCTTCAAAACTATATATTTAACTACAATATATATATATATATATATATATATATAAAATAGCTTTTTGGTGCACCTAAAGTTCCAACGTGTTACATTATAGTCAAGCAATGGCTTTCATGACAAGTTAGAGTATGTTATATTAACAATTAAGTAATGTCTTGCTATTTTATGCAACATACCTTTGCCATTATGTATTTGATAGATTAACATAAGAGATAATAAGCAATTTCAATTTTACACTTCGCAATGCTTCTTTCCCTTAAGAAAGTCTACATGCAACATGTTGAAGAATGCAATCAATATTATCCAAAAAAAAAAAATGATACAAACCCTCAGAGGTTCTGGACAAAGGCTAATATAGTCCTCCAAGCTTTGTTGTTTAGATTCCAGGGAGTCCCCACCAGTGAAAACTAGAATTATGTAGTTAACAATCTCATCACCAAAAAGTGATTTCATACTCTCAACGGCAGCCTGCTCTTCCCTTGTAAAGCGAGATCCAACAGACAAAACCATGATTATAGCATGAATACCATCCTTGGCTAAATCAATGCTTTTGACTATCTCCCTACTTATTACATCAGAATTAATAGAAAAATCGAACAAACCTGCAAAGAAATACATGGCCAGAATTAGGTGTTAGCATACTACAAATATCCTAAACCTAGACAAATAGAGAAAACAATTTGAAATTTTTCTGTGATAAATTTCTTATGTTAGAATCAAAAGGAAAAAAAGTCAATTAAATCACTAAATACAGTGGCTCAATACAGTGCCAGATTGCAAATCAATACATAACTTCAAATTATGATTTATGTGAACAGATGAAAGAAACAGACAAGCATATTTAATCATTTTTCATCCTCTAACTTTGTACCACCTTGAAGAATGTAAATAGAAACCTATCAAACTTGAACATGATACAAAAGGGATTGACTAACATATGTTAATCGCTTAAGAGAAAAAGCAAATATAAACCCACAAATTTATATTTATTATAGTATTTCATTAAAAATTCCACTTCAATGCTTCTCTGGGAAATGTAATGGAAAAATATAGTGTATGATATAGTATATAAGAATACTTAACAAATGCATGTAGTTTCCACAGTATGTTATGCTACATTGCGAAATCTTAAATGATCATTACCTTGTGATTTAAAGGTTAAATAAGAAAAATACAAAGAAATATATTCCAACCCATGAATAACCATAGGCATTACAATCAATTAAAGAGCTGCTTCTTGGAGCCAAAAAAGCCCAATTTGAGATGGTTGAGACATTAATTGGTTTGGAGTTTCAATACACAGCTTGAGCTTGAATTTGAGTGAAGGCTTAAAATAGTCCAACAACTATTAGTAAATGGGCAAGTTAGTCCCACATTTTCATGATGAACCAATTTAGTCCAACTATTACAAAAGATCCTAACTTGGTCCCAAGATCAAAAGTAATGGATAAAGTAAACCAAAATAGTAAAATGTAAAAGCATGTTGAATATTATGATGTGTGTGAGATTATATTATTTTTTTAATATTTATTATATTAAAATAAATAAAAAATTATAATGGAAGTTCACCAAATAATTTTTATTACTATAGTATGATAAATGACAAAATGTATAAAAATAATAATATAATCTCATATACACTGTAATATCAAAAATCTATTGGGATTAACTTTAACTGTTACATTGGACCTTGAGAAAAAAATTAAAATATTTTCTAATAAAAAGGGAATTAAGTTGGGGCATTATATGCTTCTAGAAGCAACTTTCTAGTCAAAAAATTAAATTTTTTGTGCTAGAAAGCTGCTTCAAGAAGCAACGAAAAAGCCGTCCAAAACAAAGCCTAAGTAGTTTGGGAAATCCCTTGACCTTGCCCTCTTGGGGGGCATAAATAAGCATTAGGACAACGGGCATTTATTGGTAGGGCGTATGGTGGATATAGAAGACTAAAGTCACCTTCTAGATTTATGTCAGATCAAAATATTCCTCAATTGAGAGTATTTTTTTCCTACTATTGATAGATGGATAAATAACCAAGCCTGTTAATATTTAAATTCATGTTAGACCATCATGCCCTTAATAATAATGCGTAGCTTGATGAACAATTTGAGATTAATAGATTTTTGGAAATCTAAACCTGACGATCAGATTAATACCATTGGTTTAAATAGGATGATCAAATTATTGCTAACACGATGAACTATATCAAAGATAATTAGAGGTTGACACGAAGCTTCATGTCATCCAATGGTGCAAGAGGTAAAAGGCTCATCATCAATTTAAACAATTATTATATGATCATTGGAGCATAGCACAAACCTTGTCATCCTTGATTGAATGGTTATAATTAATATAGATATATTTTTTAGAGTCTTGCCCTCTTAGATCTAGATAATTTTGTATTTTTTCCCAAAATTACATTTTTCATCGAAAAAATCATTGCAGGTCTAGTTTGCACCTTTCTTACAAGGTTGGTTGAACCTCCTTAATTACAACCACCTCCAGGGCATCAACGTATGCATATGCTCAAGTCAATAAATCAAGATGTTCCCAACGCACATGGTTCTTTTCTTTGCTTGGGTGATTTTTGAGTTGCAAAAATAAAATCTTGCTAAACTTGATGATTTTGAAAGCAAGCTCATTAATTTTCTTGTACAAAGTTAATAACCATCTTAAAATCTTTTTCAACCAAGTATTAAAAAAGATATTACTTTAAGTTTAAAAACTCAATGAAAAATCAATTAGAAATTTTAAAAAAATTTGATATATTAAAAATACATCCAAATTATTATTCAAATTTTGTATTATTTTTGCACCAAATTTCAAATATATTTTAGTGAATAAAAATATTTTTTGGCCAAATTTTAAAGCAACAACAACAACAACAACAACATCATCAAGCCTTTATCCCACTACTTGGGGTCGACTACATGAATCTTTTTTCTCCATTGTATCATATTAAAGGTCAAATTCTCATTTAAATCTAATAAAGAAAAGTCATTCCTAATATTTTCTAACCAAGTCTTTTTAGGTCTGGCCAAATTTTAAAGCAATAAAATAAAATTTTAACATGTATTCTTTGTTAGCTAGGGATTATTGGTATCAAAGTTGATGTGTTGGAGATTGAGGAGATCAATAACCATCACACTCAATGCATAGATCCTAAGATCATCGGTGCTACGAAGATTATGCATGTTGGTTAGATTCAAATATAGATAAATTATTATAGTATGCATATTGATTTTGATAATTATGAGATGATTGAGGATATAAATCCACAAAATAAGTTGGACTAGAAGAGTGATCATAATATTTATCATGGGTGCTACGAAGTTTCTCCAACGCCTACAAAAAAAAAACATTAAAAAATCAATCCAAAGCTTTATTGGGGTTGCCCTGCCTAAACTGTCACCTTCGTTGGCTTTGCTTAGCAACCTCTAACATTAAATTTGAATTTATCTCGGGCGCGACACTACCTAATTTACCTCACTACTTCATGAGTCCCCATGAATGAGTTGCTATGAATGTAATATATTTAGCTGAGCATAAGTCGTTTTGCAGTCCTTATTAATAGTTCCAAAAAAAGATGGTGGCGATTGTGAATTGACAGTCGTGCTAATAATCAAATTACTATTAAGTATTGTTTCCTAATTCTATGGATAAATGACCTACTTTATAAGTTGGCTGGTACATCCATTTTCTCAAATTTGGACTTCTGGATACCATCACATTTGTGTAAGGTCTGACGATGAAGGCTACCTTCAAATCTAGTGAAGGTTTGTATGATTGGAAGGTAATCCCTTTTAGTCTTTGCAATGCCCCATCCACATTTATGTGGCTCATGTGCAATGTTATTAAGAAGTAATTTATTTTGACGACAAATTGGGCTTTAGTCCCTCATTTAAAGACCACCTTGCACGTTTGAAACTTATTCTAGAAGCCCTTCACCATAAAAAGTTATTTCTTAACCTCACCAAATGTGAGTTTTCAATCACTCATGTGAATTTACTAAGTTTTATATTATCCTCCAACGATATTCATATAGATCCTCATAAGATCTCAGTGATCCTAGAATTGCCAACACTGCAATTGTTGTATCAAGTTTAAAGTTTCCACAGATTAGCCAATTACTATCACAGGTTTATAAAGGAGTTTAGTGCCTATTGCCCTATCATAAATTGCCCAAAATCTCCAAAAGCTTATATGGACCGATTCCCAACAAAACTGCTTTAAAATTGTGAAGCAGTACCAAGTTCAGCTCCAGTCCTTGCACTACCTTATTTTGGAAGGTCATTTCAAGAGGACAAAAATGAATCTGTTTTTGGCATAGGGGTTATTTTATCTCAAAGTGATGGGTCAATAGAATATTTAAGCAAAAAATTTAGTCTGGCATGACATAAATGATCCACCTATGAGCAAGAATTATAGGTTGCAATTAGAGCCCTCAAGCAATGAAAACATTACTTGTTACATCAAGACTTTGTGCTTTGTAGTGACAAGCAAGCTTGGTTTCACATTAACAATCAAAAGAAGATTAATTGCATGCATACAAGGTGGATTATGTTCTTACAAAGTTCATCTTTATCATTAAACATAAGGCGAGGAGGTCCAACCATCTTGGATATGCTCTAAGTAGACGCTCGTACTACTGACACAACTATAAATAAAGATTATGGGATAATAAGCACTTCAAAATTCGTATACTTCAGACTCTAATTTTACAAAACCATGGAGCAGTTGCATAACAAAACTTTACCTAAACCATGGTTTCTTATTCAAAGAAAACTACCTTTGTATACTAGAATTTTACTGGAGACAAATTGATTAAAGAAATGCATATTGTGGGCTTAGCCGCTCATGTTGATTGAGACAAACATTAAAACAAGTACAAGCTCGATATTATTGGAGGATTTAAGTAATTACCAAAACGCTAAACTCTACCTTCTACTTCCCATTTCCAATTCAATTTGGGAGGATTTAAGTCTTGACTTTGTGCTGAGCCTCCCTCGCAATATGTAACGAGTTGATTCAATTATGATTGTTATTGCATGTTTCTCTAAAATGGTGCACTTTATTTCTTGCAAAAAAAAAAAAAAATTTTTGTTTAACATTATCAACATCAACCATCTTCTCTTCAACAAGATTGTTTGTTTGTGTGGACTACCACAACCTCACATCCAGCCATGATGTGAAAATCATCAGTCACTTTTAAAGGGAACTTTGGAAGAGACTAAACGCTAACATTAATCTAAGCTCCGCCTACAAACCCCAAACCAAAAGGTAGACAGAGGTGGTCAATCGAACAATTGGTATTTTGTCCAACAACAACCTAAACGATGGGAAGAACTTCTTGGTCAAGCTGAATTTGCAGTTTCTTTCCCTTCTAACATTGTATATACAAAAATGCAAAATCATCTTATTGATCTAGCTATTCTACCTAAATGCAGTAACACTTCAACTGCTAAAATAGCATCCCAATTTACTGACATTATCCAACATGTAAAGGATAGATTACAAGCCACAATTCCAAAAATAAACAGCAAGCTAATCTTGTTAAGGTGTTCAATCTGAGGACCTCGTTAACCTGTGTATGTGTAAAGAAAGATTTTTGCTAGGTACCTACTCAAAATCCTAGTCTTCAAAAGATTGGTCTATTTCCAATTCTTCATAAGATTAATAATAATGCATATTTTGTAAACCTACCACCAATTTTTTGCACTTGCTCGACCTTTAATATGATTGATATTTACACCTACCGTTCTTCAGATGATGCTCCTATCGAAGTCACCTCACTAGATGTGAGCTCTTTGAAAACCGAGGAAACTTGTTGGACTATGTTAACCCTGCAAAGCACCATACCAAACTCTCCACTAGTGTTCCTTCTTATTTCCCTTTTTTATTTACTATAGTACACTCACCTTTTTATTTTCTTTTCACCTTATTAACTATTAATATAGCAAGTATTACACAGATATATACTCGAGAATGTATTAGCAAGGTCATATAGAAAATATTATGTTGCTTTGAAGATTATTGTTCCATTGTTTGTTAGTATATTCTTCAATCATCGCAATCACATTAATATATTTTTGCTACTTTAGATCTTCTAGACTAACGTCACTTAAAAGTTAAGTTATTGTTCCTTTTAATGATGGTCTTTTATGATTAGAATAAAAGGAGCTTATGACCACCAATACAGGAAATTCAGGTATTACCGGCGGTTTAGCTGGCGGTGTTAATAAATCGCCGCTGAAATTAGCGGCGGTTTACTAACCGCGGGCTATGGCACCGGTTTAATTTTATACCGACGGTTTAACCGCCGGTAAAACTTGCGGTTTTGAAGGCCAGTATGCCGCCGGTAAATAACCGGCGGTGACCGGGCGGTTTAGCCGCCGCTAATACAGGATGTTTTGAAGGCCGAATGGCCGGTAAGCCGCCGGTGATTAGCCGACGGTCACCGGCGCTACTACCGCCGGAAATTACCGACCGTCTAGGCCGCCAGAAAAACGCCGGTACGTATAACTGCCGGAAATGCACCGCCAGAAATCGTTTCCTACATGGTTTATTCCGACGGTTTTTGAACCGCCGGAAAGCCACTGGTTTTTTTACAAAACCGCCAAAAATCTATCATTAACCGCCGTTAATACCTGAATTTTCTGTAGTGCACACTTAACAGAGATAATCAATGTTAAAATAATAATCATAAAAATATTCCTCATTATTACAATATCCTGAAGACAAGAGTGTAATCGATTTAACTTTGAATAGAAAAAGATTGGCATAGCATGAGCTTTGTTATCAATCAAATTGTTGGGCCAAATAGGATCTATGTTTAGGAACACATTAATTATCAATTTTCAAAAAATATTTAAGCAAATTATGCAAAAATTGACAAAACAAGCAAATTAAATTGAGAGTTGTAGATTACTTCATATGAATAAATAAGTAGGTCATCCTACAACAAAAAGGTAGATCATCAAAATGAGATGCTTCTAATATATAACCATCAAACCTTAACCATGAAATTTAGTTGTTCACATTGTACAATGTGATTCCACTAAATGATGCCCCAAATAACCTATTTTATGAAGTTGGGAAAAAAAAAATTAATCAGGTGATTGGAATGCCAAGTCTAGGAGAATTTTATTAAGTATTGATTATATATGTAGCTCTACATGGGGATTATAAGAATGCATAGCTATGAACTTGTTATATATTGAGTACAGATAATTATACATTTATGGTGCACTCCAACATATAAAATACAATGAGTTTACAAAAAAAACATATTTTTACTGAAAAAAATCACTAAATAATTATATACTCTTGTACTTAGCATCATCTAGACTATAATATGGATTCAACATGTAATAAATTTTTTTAAGTTTGGCTCACTCCTATTATTTTTTTATCCCTTTATGAGAGATTGTTTGTTTCAATTGATTTATTTAAATAAATAAATTAAATACAAAAAGAGATAGGCATGCATTACCTTCAAAGTGAAGACAAACTTCAAAGCACAGTCATTTTTCCACGTGGTAAACAATACCAAACAATTTTTTCATTCATGTTGTGATAGAATGCAGACAATATTTTAAAATCAAGGATATGAAAATGCATATGCAGCGTTTGAACTTAATGAATATTCATAGATCAACATAGAGATAAACATTACCTGGAGTGTCTATAACATTGATAATACGACCATCATTCAAAATAGTTCCTTGTAGTTCAGAAGTACTTGTTACTCCTGAAGGGCTAAGCTTCGAAATGAAGGCTTCCCTTCCAAGAATGCTGTTGCCTGTTGCACTCTTGCCGTTACCAGCCTTCCCAACAACTACAATATTAATAGGGTTACTTGCAGTTGTCATTTCCCAATCATTTATTGGATCGGCCTCCATTGTCTGAGAGTAAACAAAATGCAAAAAAGACTAGTAAATTGATTAAGCTAAAAAGATAAGTGCTAGCTACAATATCAAATACTTAACAATCTTGAACACTTAAATTCTATATCATTGGGATTCACGGTGATAAACTCATTTATAATTTTGCATTTTCTTGTGAGTGCCTTTTCTGTATTTTTCATATTTGGTTATTCCCATCCTTTAAAGAGTAAAGGCATCTTAGCTTTTGGATTTGCTTCAAGGCAACTTAATTAGGCCTAGACTTGCTTTCTTAACAACCAAATTTGCTAACAGTACATAAACACATGAATTGTCATTTGAATTAATCGCGAACATGTTAAATTGTGGAGTATGATTTTTACTAAAATGAAGAAAATGCAACTAAGTGCAATGAAGGAGAGCACCCTGACAAGTTCATTGGGCAACATAACTTGGCAAATTCTATTGATGAAAACTTCAGAGCATTGGTAATTGTTTTTGTTGGTGAATTTAGAATTTCAATAATGAAAATAAAGTTGGCTCTTAGCAATTATGGCAAATTTGAGACATTCAAGTGAGTTTCGAGTTGGTTCTTAGCAAGAAACTTTGTTGAAGCGGATTAAGCCTGTAGAAATAACTTCATTTATTTGACTCACACAAATATGGTGAACAAGAGAAAGAATTCTTAGAATCCAATTTGGCATAACTAAATCAAATTTAATCTTGAATTATCAATACCTGGAGAGCAAGTCATTAATCTAAATATATAAATATAAGGATTCAACTTTATAGTGAAGGTTTTCACTGATTTTCTTTAGATTTATAATACTTTGTTTATTTAACTATTCTAGAAATTAGTTATTTACAAGAATGAAGAAGATTGATCATTTTCAAGTGTTTAAATATCCACTAAACTATCGAAAAAATTAAAAAAATTCAGTTTACAAAAAGACTCATTGCGCAGAATCTTCATCTGTAGTTTTTCTTCTATTGAAGAAGTTGAATTAGAGCCACCAAAAGTGAACTTTGCAGAAAATCATGAACATGATAATAAAAATAATAAATATACTTCAAAGCAGAAAATCATAAACATCAAAATATATTATCTTCTTAAAAATTTAAAGAATAGGGAAAATTTTTTTTGTTAAAAATCAAACCATTTCACTCAAAAGCTAGAGGGCAAATAGACAATGAGAGATCCAACAGACTCCAAGAGCAAAGAAACAGCAAAGAACTACAAAAATGGAAGATTACCATACTAACTTTCGGTGGCTTGAGCTCTTCAGCTGGTGAAGACCGGAGAATGGAGTAGGGGGCAACTTCGACGCTTATAATCACGGAGAAGACGAACAGAGCAAGCCTTTCGGAATGCCCAGCATTTACTGCGAGAAAGAGAGATAGACGAGCAAATTTTTAAGAATTAAGATTGCTGAACTATTTCTCATCTCAAAAATCTCGCCAAGTGCTTTGGAAAGAGTAATGGGCATTAACTAGCTGAGAAATTGCTGTATATCCTTCTTAAAACCAACCTGTTGGTATTCTGAAATTTAAGTTAGATGACAAGTTTATATGGATATTGAAAATATTTTTATTTAAATTTACAGTGAGAGAGATCAAATTGTATAAATCAATATGAGCTACGAATCGAAAAGATTAAGATAAAATGACTTCGAGAAAATTATTTTTTCAAAATAATGATAGATATGATTCATACATCTTATGATTTATCATTATTAATTATAGAATAATAATAATAAAAGTGTAAACAGAATCTTTAACCATAGCGAGTGAAATCATGTTTTTAATTGATGAATTACATAGCAATTAAACTTTTTTTTTATATTAATTTAGTTTATATTACTATTATAAAGGATCATAATCTTGCACTAAGGAGCATTGGTGATATGCTCAATTGTTATTGTTATGTGTGAGAAATAGATTCATTAAAGAGATATTTTTTATCATCTAAATTTATGAACGATCACACATGAATACAATAAATGAAGTAGAAAAGAAGTAAAAAAAAGTTGATAGGACCTCAAGATATTTTATATGAAAATACTGCAAAGAGAAAAAAAAAACAATAGAATTTTATATGACCTTTTAAAAATTTGAAAATGAGACATTATAATCGTCTCTATTAAAATTTTGTATAATATCAGACAATTTGAATAAGTCCATCTAATTCTCTCACATTTCCAAACATTTTAATGTCTTATTAAACTTAGAATTATGAAATGTTAGACTTACCATATTTGCTTTGTAATTTAAATTATAAGTGCTTAAAGTTTTTTTGACTATTTTGCCCGCAGAAAATTTTTAATTATAATTTTTGGGAGTTCAAAATAAGCTTATTTAGCCTTGGATTTACTTAGGCTTTGTTTGGTACAACTTTTGATCATTATTTTTTTGTTGCTTTTAAGAACTTTTGTGTTAAAAAGTTATTGTAAAAAGTAATAAGAAAACTGTACCACATGAAGCCTTAATTTTTATCTTATAATATATTATCTCAATAATAACTATAATAAAAATAGAGACAACAACAACAACATCAAGTAAGCCTTTGTCCCACTACGTGGGGTCGGCTATATGCTCATTTCATATTCTGCCTTAAGGGTAAAGCCACTCATCCACCTAAGCATCCACATCTCTGCAACACTTAACTTAGTATTATGCTTTTCTTTTAATGGCCAACATTATGCACCATAAAGCATTGTAGGTCTCACCACCATCTTATGGAATTTTATCTTAAGTTTGAGAGGGACTTTTTTTATCACACAACAAGCCCGAAGCATTCCTCCACTTCAACCATCCAACTTGAATTCTACTGATAATATCCCCATTTATTTCACCATCACGTTGAACAAAAGATCAAAGATATCTAAAACGTATACTCTTATTTATGGCTTGATCGCCCAAAGTCACAATCCCCCCACTAAGTCTATTACTACTTAAATTACACTCCATATATTCAATTTTAGATATACTCAAGTGAAAACCTTTAGACTCTAAGGCTATGATGGGGAAATCAGATATTGGAAGGTTTATCAAAGGCCTGGCCGCCGATCTACGGCCACGATCGAGGCATTGTACTTTTGATTTATGTCATGTATTGTCTTATTTATGTGTCGTAGTAATTGTTTTATTTTATTTTATTTTATTTTATTTTCCGTTGTACCCTTCTAGCAAAGGGATGACGTATATAAGCCCAAGGGGCATTAGTGTCTTTTGCCTTTGAGTCCTTTTGTATGAGGCTTTATATAGTCCTCATTTTCTTTTGAGGCTAATGAATGATTATTGGAGAATTTTTTTTTTTTTGTTGGAGTTCTTAAGAGAGCTTGAGAGATCGGAGAGAGATCCCTTGGAGAGGGAGATCGACGCATCACCCACCAACCTTGGAGACGGCAGGGTTCATGGTTTCCTATCTTCGTCTTACTTCACCCCATCTCCCTCCACCTAGCTGTTAGCCAAGGCACATCCATTCCTTGCCACTGGCCACCTAACCTCCCCTCTTGATTCCTATTCCCACCACCCAATTTCCCATCACCAATCCCTCCCTCACCCGCCGACCCCAACCCCTAGCCGCCGGCTCCACTACTTTCCCCTTCATCCTTGGATTTCTTAATTTGGTGAATGCAATTTGGAAACAATTTGAAACTCAAATCATCTAAAATTTGAATTTCAAAGTTCTTTCCTAACTTAGTTCATCTATTTTAGGAAAGTACTTAATTTAAATAAATTTGAATTTTAAATTTGATATGCATTTAATTTATTGCTTTCCTAATTCATAAAACTAAACTAAGGAGCCTTAATACTCCTTACCTCATGTATTCCGCCATCCCCCCTATAGGGAAACTTGGGATTTATTTCCTAACTCCCCTCTAGCCCCTCTTGGAAGTTTTTCTAAATATCAACCCACCCCCTTGGCCGAATTTTATCAAATCCCCTTACTCCTAATTTATTTCCTAAAACCAAATATTGGATTTGGGAAATAAATCTCCACTCCATCCTCATGATACCACCGGCCCCTCTCTCTACCCGCCCCCTCTCTCTCTTTCAAATCTCCCACTCTCTCATTAACGCCTCACCAGAATTTAGGAATTGAGATTTTCCTCTTGATTTCCCATCTTCCACTTTCAAAATTTTGATACTAATTTCAAATTTTGGAAGGGAAATTGCTCCTTGGCTCCTACCCCTTTCAAGTTGAAGAGAAGCTTCTTTCTCCTCAACAGTAATCAAGAGTGCTGGAAATCCTTGGGAAGACTTCGTCATCTAGCTTTTATGGATGGCTGATCCAGAAACTGAATACGCCCTCTCCTGCGACAAGCATGGGTTTGTGTGCATCTTACATTCAACCTTCTTCAACGTTAGCCCGAGGATCGACCACACGGCGGAAGATTACATCGAGCGAATCTTGGATACCTTGGTGGAAGCCATCGAAGAGCAATTGGAGATCATCAAGTGGAGGATCTCCACCGATCCTTGATGAAGGTTTCCTACATTCCTCTTTTCTCTTATTTCTTGAATCTAACTTTTCTCATGGTTTGATTGTAATCATGAAGGCCGACCATCGCTTGCTTCTGCTAAGCTTAGTAAACATAGGATTTTGAGCGTATTCATGTGCTTGCTAATCTCGTTGTTAGACTAGGAATTTTTATTGAAGCTACTATTATGGCATGATGTTGTTTTCAAATTTATTTTGAAGTTTCAAATCTCTGGTTATGTGATTTAGCCTAAGCGGACGTGGCCTCTCTTATGTTTTATTCCGTTGTTTTAAATGCTTGTAGTTTTTGTTGCTATTCTCTAATCAAGAGTTGTGCAAGATCTTAATAAATTCATTGCATCCATACGTAGTTCTACATCATCTGGTATCAGAGCATGGTATGCTCTTGCATGTGTTAGGATCCCTAGTAAATTTTATTTTCAACATCTTAGTCATTGCATTTGTGTCATTTAGAAGTGTTAGGTTGCTGCTCTATTTATTCTCTCCATCATTTTGCAAAGCATAACTGTGTT